ATAGATGGTTGTATCGGATAATCTAAACATTTCTGAGTGTTAGTTCTTCGCTCGTCGAGCACAACATTGAAGGCGATTTTTTTAACATTTTGGATAAGTTCTGTCGTGGTCACCTTGATGCTTCTGCCCCCTCTCGGGTTAAATAAACTCTGCCACCTGTACATCATGCGTTTCCCCGGACAAGGGTCCACGTAAGCCAATGACATCTCTTTCATTAAGGTCGCAACTGAAGGAACTTTATACAGGGTGCGCCCATATATTTGGGGTCAGTGGAAACACTGAATAACTTTGACAGATTTCAACCGACTGCGTTTAGTAAAAGCTTTTTGGAAAGTATTGCGACCGTGCTGCGCCTAGAAGGGTAATATTCGTCGCTTGGGCTTGAATTTCAATATTCACGGAAGACTCACACAGCGGAGTCAACGATGAACTGTGTGATATCGAGGGGATATCGGCTGGTCACCAAGATCAAAGAGTATGCCAAAAAACCGAAGACTTTGGACGAACTAAAGAACAACATTCCAGCTAAAATGGTTACGATATCACCCGAGATGCTGGCGAAGTCATGAAAAATGCCAAAAAGAGAGAAGTTTTATTTGTGCAATGAAGGGGGTCATTTGATCGATGTTGTTTTCCGAACCTAGCGGGAAAAATTTGTAAATTTAATAATAAAAAAAGTTTATCCTAATTCATTGAAAATTATTCAAGTTGTTCAATATTTCCATTGACCACTTATAGATGGAACACCCTGTATAAGTATTCGATATACTATTTTTTCTTATATTTAACTGTTCACTTCCCATTATGTTGCGATAATTCAAAGACTATTTTTCTGAGTACAATGAAACTTCGTATTTATTCTGATTAAGAGTCACTGAATTAGTTTAATCGACCCTTTACAACCGTCTCATTCCACCCCCTCTGCGGGTTAGGGGTTCCCGCGGTAAGGCATGCCTGACGTAAGAGGCGACTAAAATCCAATAGTACCTGCGACAGGATTTGTATCCGGCCAAGGACTGTCACTGTCAAAAAGTACTTTGGGAAATATTTTTGTGGTTACAACAACAATAACAACATCGTCTAATTCCACGAACATAAAAATGCTGCCTCGAATTTACCTCTTTTAGGGGTAAAGCCAATCTAGGGATTGAAAAATAGACTCATTAAAAAAATTTTTGTAGGAATATCCGAAAAGGAAAATAATTTTAGACGATGGGAACTAGAAGACCAAAAAGTTTTGTGATCTAGAAAATTATGGTCTTTGGAAGTACGTTTTTTATCATTTCTAGGACCCAAAGGTGACCTGGGAGCAAAAAAAATCCAATTGTGATTAAATTCCTTAAATTCTAAAACATTCATTTCATCATAACAGCAACCAACCACTGGTGCTGGTGACTCTATATGAGATTTTGAGCAAAAAATAATTTTCTACCGGTTATATGCAAATCATTATAACGCCCATACTTTGAAATTACAATCCTGACAATCTGAAAACATAAAATTAACATTAAAACAACAAGGCTGAGGTAGAAAGTAGGACGAAGATAAAAAATGCTTTGTGTACATTATAGAATATGACAGTAAAATAAACATGCAAAACCGCAAACGCGACGCCTAAAATAAAGAAAATAAGAACCTAAGAGAACGGTGTGCATATGCATATACGGTACGTAAGTATGTATGTATGCGTACAATAGCGAAAAAAAGGCCGCTAACGGCCGCAATATCTTCCGAACGAAATTGAAATTGAGCCCTTCATATTTTTTATGGCACATTCGTCTCTCTTGGTGGCAACGTAATGTTTATGCTAATGTAAGTGAATACATAAGTGCTATATACATATATTCGTTAATACATACTTATGTAGTCGTTAAAAACACTGCAGTTCAGTATACATAGTAGAAAATAGTTTTTTATTTTAAACAAAAATCTCTCTATACATATACATTCATATATAAAAGGCTTTGTCCCATATGACTGACGAATCAACCCACATCGTAAGCCACTAATCGCAGATACCTGAAACGTGGAGGGAGTGATTTGGGCATACTAAAAGAAAGGGGAAACGTAGAGACAGTTCGTTTTCGTGCTGTCGAATGGAGCTTAAAAATCGACGAAGAGGAGGTGTGTATCGATCCTCTTTTCACCAGAACTAAAACCGCACTAATAAGGTGCAATCAGTTTTTTGACGATGGGCTTTAGTCTTTTACACAATACGTTCGTTAGCACCTTATATACTATATTGAGTAGGCGCAGACTGTGGGATCGGCCTTTTTATGGATTGGACAGAGCATACTTAGGTTCTAGTTGTACACGAATTTGCTCCGGTCTTGAAAGCTTCAGTAAGTCGTTCATCTTTTTCTCGAATTTTCAAGCACTACTGCCATTCGGAAGGCTCAGGTTCAAATCCCGGTGCCAATGACATCGAAATGTTAATGAAATTTGAAATTGACATGAAATAAAGAGTTTTTATAAAAAAACGTTAGCCGTCCGGAGGCGGCTTAGTATGAACCGTAAGTCCCTCCATTTGTTGGAAAAACATCCAGACGCAAAACCACAAAATTGGGGAAGGAGCTCGTCCGAAAAACCGCTTCAGCAGTTACAAAGCGCCTATTATAGATTATATATCCCTATCACACAGCTTCCCAGCTTTTCATACTCATTCAAACAAAGGTCGACTTATATTTTGTTTGACGATGTGTTTGGTTTCCCTCTTCAATTCTAGGTATCTAACCCACGCCACTCTTGTGGTAGTCGGTGGCCAACGACCAGGATTTTTATCCGGTCGCCAAGGACTGCCACTCCGGCAACATTCCCCAAAAACTACTTTGGGGAATAGTTTTGCGGTTACAACAACAACAACATGCAAGGATTTACGCTCTTACCGTTTTGCGTAGCTTCTAAATTAAGGATGGATGATGTTTTTTCCTCCGATGTGTATGTTATCGAGGTAATCTAACTAGAGGTCCAGGGAACGAACTGTTTAGACGGGGTCAAACCAGAGAGAAAAGGGGGGCTAGATAAGTTGGGGTATAAAAAGAGGTGGCTAGTGTCGTGTTGGGATTATGGGCATGCAGGACATACATTGGACATGTCGGGGTCAAATCTGTACATCTCCGTTTAACGCTATTCCCTCGAAGAGAGTGCAGTGCTTTCTCTTTCTAATACACCTAGGTGTTGGTTTAGCTTCTAGTAAGTATCTGTTGGTGAGAGCCCTACGGTGGAATCCCAACAGGAATTGTTTGTAGAGCAAAGCATTATGCTCCTTACCCCTGGCATAGATACTTAGCTGTCACGTTCCTGAGGGATGTGTGTTGGCAGGATTAGGTTTCTTCCAATTGCCTTGCAGGTTAGCAGCAACGTTTCTTTGTCTTTTACCCAGGTACTGAAGATTTTATGGCGATTCTGGTGTATTCTGGCCAGACACCAATATCAAGCAATCTTCGGCTTATGAGATTCGTGAAACCCGTTTTGACGGGAGTAAGAGTTTCGAGATATAAAAGTTAAACAACAGTGGGGAGAGGACACCACCCGGCGGAACGCATTGCTTAATTTTTCTTAGTTTCAATATTTGATCTCGAAATTATACAAATGATTGACGACCACTCAGCTAGCCGATGGTCCACGTCTGCAGTTCTAGCGGTAATGAGGATTCCTTAATGTCCGATAGTAGCACTCAAAGTTTGAGCCTGTCAAAAGTTTTTGACAGGTCCAGTGCTACCAGGAAATTAAGCGCGCATGGACGATTTTGATTATGCCCATTAACTATCTGTGTGCTTATGGCGTTCAGTGCAGTTGCCGTGCACCTTACGAAAGCAATGTTGATGTGCTGCTATACTCGGATGTTGTGCAAAAGTCGAGAGCAGCAAGGCTTCAAGAGTATTTTCTTAATCTTTCTCTTCAATCCATTGTATCGAACTCGAATGAAGCGAACATACATAAAAGCCCCTTTGACAGCTTCAATCTGGTTTAAAATGCAGCCAACTTACTGTACTACTTCCATTTCTAATAACTCATAAGTCGTATGTGCATACCTTTTTGTATGTTTATGTAAATTTGAGTATCTATTCGTATGTATGCAGCTATCTAGTTAATGCGCTTCATTCTTGTTATTATAATACTTCTACGGCTTCTTTTCAGCACATATCCTATACAATCATATTAACATATTGTTCCCTATCCTAATAATCTCTTACAACTAAATCCTTACGCCCATGGATTTACAATTGATTTTCAAAACAAGAATGAATACTAAAAATAACAACCCTGACTTATTGTTGTTTTGCGCGTACACTAATGACAACAGATTTGCTCTCCATGGTGCAAATTGAATTGGTTCTTAGTGATTATATCCTGTGGCTCGTGTTTTTATTGGTTTATGTCACAACACTTGGGAGCAGTAACACTTATTACCACATTCAACCAACCGCTTCGTTAAGAATGGAGAACAGGTGTCATAAACATAATTTAAGCAGCCGGCATTTGATGGCGCCACTGCAAACTAAATAACTAATTACTTTATGCCTCTGTCCCAACAATGTGGACGGTATATAGCGCGCAGACAACTAAGAAATGTCATGGTGACTCTTTAATAAATGTGCGGATAGTTAATATATTAATTAATTTATATATGTATTATAACAACTAATTACTAATGGATTTTCTGTATTTTTTTGATGATTAATTATATTTTTTTGGCATCCATCAGCCGTTCGGAGGCGGCGTAGAATAAACTATAAGTCCATTCAATTGTTGGGAAACAGCAAGACGCACACCACATTTTGAAGAAGGCTCGTCCGAAAATCGCATTAGTGGTTATAAAGCATACATATATAAAATTTAAAACAAGTCCTTACATATATTTGTATACATATATTGTTAATACTTTTGATTTTGTTAATATAGTACATGTGTATGTGATTTAATTTTTATATACTAATTAATATTTAAATAAATATGTAGTATGTGCAACTTTTTATCAAATCCTTCCGATTACTCACTTTTGAGTAGCTCTCCGTAGAACGTATATCATTTATGGTCCATGGCAACATTGCAGCCGAGTAGCGCGGATCCACAGAAGCGCTGCCGCGGTATGTTAATGAAACGAGACGCGTTTTCATGTTGTTTGCAAAAGGATATAGTAGTCAAAGAAAAGAATGTAGCAATAGGCAATATTAACCGAAAGAAAACAGTTTAAGCCTGCACACGAGCATTCACTTCAATTCCTCAAGGCTTTAAAAATCACTGTAATCTTAACTTTATTTGTTGTATACGATAACTTTTCTTGATTTTCGACGCGCATGACTCATTTCTGAAGAATATACATATGTAATATTGTGGGCGTTTTTTTTTTGTTTTGTATAAAATGCGTACACTGTAAGAGGTAGTTTTAAGAGATGAGGGAGCTGCAGTTAAAAAAGCCTGCTTTGAATTTCTTTCCAAATATATTAAAGGCAGTGAGGATAATGCATATGTATTTACATATATGAATGAGTGTGTTTCTAATGTCCAAAGTGGGTATATTTAATTGAGCACGCGACTGAAGGAATTTAGGCCAAATGACAATAGCAATTCAGACATACATACATACCTACATATGTATGTATATACACTATGAATGAATGAATTATTTTAACTTATTTTATATTAAGTAACAGTAATGAGAATTGCTCTTAAAAATTTGGATATTTGTACACATCGATTTAAACCACATTCGCATTTTTTTTTTGTGAATATCGATTTTTCATATATTTTGCTTGCTTAGCATTGAGTTTCACTGGGTATAACACAGAGCAATCCTGTACACAATTAAACCGTCAAAGTTTTTATTTTATTTTTCACATATAAATACATAAATGGGTTTGTTTAGCTAGACTATAAAGAGACTTGTTAGGCTGTTAAGAATCCTCCGAGAATTTTTTGTTTTCAACAGGAACACACAATTTTCGATTCTATTTTCTTCATCAGTTCATTGATCAGCTAGATACTTATAGTTTATTATAATCTGATTCTTTTAAAGAATGGATAACTAAAAGTGTTCACCAATTAATCCAACTCTATCCAATTATCCGCACCATTTAGACGCAACCGGTACCCACGAAAAACTTAAGCACTACTGTGCTTGAATACTGAACTTTTGCAAATATGACACCGCAATGAACTCTACGTCTATGCCATTTTCCTGTACATCCTTGCGCACTAAAATATTTTGCAAAAGTCCCTTCTTTACACATTATCCTTTCCATTTAGCGAATTGCTCTCTCGAAAACGATTGAATTTCGCGGTTTTCAGCGCAGCCGCGGTTGTTAATGTTTTTGTTTTGTTCATTATCTTGCACCTGGTTGACAATTGAGTTTTGACATTTGTGTGGTTTTTAAAACAACCCTGCCTTTAGCCAAGCAAAAACTGATTCAAAGGCAAATTTTTGAAATAGCAAAGATACAAACCATAGTTGCAGCGTGAGCACAGGCCGACACAAGTGCAGTGAAATTTAACACAAACGACAGAGAAATAAAGTGTAAAAAAATATTGTTTTCAGATTTCTAATTTTTGGCGACAAGACAGAACTCAAAGTTTTGTTTAGTTATCTACAATGCTATGGAGATTTTCCCGAGACAACCAGACATGGACTTCGTTTACTACAAAGGCATTGTTACTGAGAGGAAAGTTGAGCACTATGGATGGGTACCTTTAACCGAAACATACATACATATATAATATATTTTAAAATTTACCATGTAGAGCACCTACGGCGCTTAAAACAGCAGATATATACCAGCATCTAAAAACCAACGACGATGTTATGTCGTGGTCGTTCGCGTGGTTGTTGAGACCGATGGTGTCGATTTTTATCTGATGGGAATTTTTGATGCATCGTAAAAACCAGTTAAATTTAAGATTTACCTTCAAAACTGGACTGAAAAAGTCTAGTCGCTAATGGTGGGCTTAAGTCTTTCACACAGTATGTTTAATTAGACTTTAGGCTTATCTGTATGTTGTTGCAGATTGTGGGGCCGTCCGTTTTGTGGAATGGACAGAGCACACTTTGGTTCCAATCGATGGGCTTACTCTAGGGTATAGGAGCGCGCCCGTTTGATTTGCAATACCACTTCGCGTTGTTTCTTTCTCACTGCCATTCAACCGGCTAAAGAAGTGTTCCCTTGAGTCCTACATGAGTATGCTTCGCTTTTGAAACCTTCTGAAAGTCCCCGTATTTTTTCAAAGAATTCTCGAGCTTTGTCTTTGATGGCCAAGTACTCAAGCTCAGGTATTTTTTTCGTTTGTTTATACATATGTCTCGCTCTATTTGATTTCAAGATTTTCGATCTGACGACAGCCAGATAACTTGATTAATTTGTTGCGCCGGAGGTATCTATCCTTACGTTAAAGTCGCACATCTTTAGTCACAACACCCCATTTCCGGCTGGGCAAGAATGCAAATTAGCGATATATTAAAATTTTTTGCTTTGATTGAGGTTTGGGGCAAGAGGTTCTTTCACTGAGTTGAATGTCAGAACTTGGGGACTGAGTGTCATCCTACCACAAACTCGACACCAAATTTTTACACCTTCATTTGCCCGATATAATATATGTATGTTAGAAGAAGCTACTCTTTGAAGTACATTTCCCGTTTATCACAATTTTAGGAAGGCTGTAAATCAAGGTTTCACACGAGTTTGGTCACGTTTCCAGGCCGTTTAAGGGGATGCAATAGTAGAAATTGTACACCTACATATATGATGGCGAGCGGTTAGCTTGGGGAAGACCGGAGTTTATTACCGACTGAATCAAAGATCTTTACAAAAAATCCAGCGGCCGTTCAGAGGCGGCATAGAATGTACAGAAAGTTGCTCCATTTCTTAGAAAAATATCAGGACGCTCGTCATGAATTGAACGAAAATCTCGGCCGAAAATAACTTCAGCGGTTATATATTATATTTATATATATGTATATACATATTTATGTAGATATTTCGATGTTAAACATATACCACCAAAGCCTCTCTCAGCCGTGCCGCGTTGTTGCTATATTTGGGTAATAACTACTCCTCCAAAATCCGCATTAAGGCGTAGTGCTAAGCGCAATAAAGCTTACTCATATTTGGTATAAGAGCCACTGATTTTACAGATTTTGATAAAAATAAGAAATTTAATGCATTCGAACCACCCGTTTTATGATGACGCTGTGACGTTGACTTTAATGTCAATGTGCACCTATGCAAAAATGGCAGCCGGCACAGTAGGATTTTGCACTCTGTTCGTCCGCCCTTCGTTTGAGCCAAAAATAGATGGTGCAGGGTATTTATGCAATTTTTTTAAGTTAATTTTCGATATTTGACATTACAGATATGGAATCAAGTTGAGAATCTGAATGCAGTGCTTCACCTTATGCACTGACAGACGGCAATTCAACGTACATGCACCCATAAGCATGTACGTGTGCAGATCTGTGCGTAAGTTATACATATTTGGCAGATAAATGTGCGCAAAATTCCAATGAAAGGCTTGAGTTTGAATATGGCGAGCGTTGTATACATATTTATACATGCATACATACACACATACATAGATATATATCTATATGCATATGGCGGTTCCTTCCCTGCAAGAATAATCTGGTGACCACTAGACTGCATATATCGATACGGTCCCTAAAGTACACCGATCCATCGTTATGCTAATGCCCTCCATCGCTAATATGCAAAAGATCATAAGCTCGTTTTCCGATAATTTCAAGTGCTGTTTCATCAAATGTTTGCACACTTTACGCGCCTGCACCTATTTACATACATATGTATAGCAAGAGGACTGGTCTCTAAGTAGAATTGTCTACAACTTTCGAGTTAACATAGCCAACAGTGAAATGGAGTTCCAGATTAAAATGGGCTGTATCTTTATTGAAGAGATTAATGAAGCATACCGATGCAAGCTCTGCAAGGCAATCGAAGAAGAGATTTCCGAGAAAACACTATCGGACCGCACTGAGAGCTGAGAGGTTGTAGAGCTTATCCTTCTAATCTATGTCCCTACAGTTGCGGCCGAAAATCATTTGAGGAGCAACCTATCTTTCTAACAAGAGTCCCAATGAGACAGTGTTCGGTTGTTATACTTATGAAGGTACGGTTTATTAGGTGTAAAGATTTACGTTTACCTCGATTAATGGCAAGATTTGTCTTGTGCTAAAAGCACGTGGTGAAGGCTAATCTTGGTATGTTCGTACTTTGCCAAGGAAAGCTGCATGTCCACGTGATGTAGAAAGTTTACTGCGTTCGCTCTCTGTCTCCTTCTTCGGCTACGCAGTTCCTTGGGATGTCCCTGTATCCCAGCTTACGGTCTTTTCGCCTAGAGTCGATAGTTTGTTTAAGATCTCTTTGAAGTGGTTTGATTACATTGGAGAGACGTAGTGACAGCCTGGCTGTCAGAATATATGTTTGTTTCAATAGGTTGGGTTAAAGGATAAGAAACGAGCAAGCATGAATTTGTGCTCATAGTTCTGCTTGGAATACGCTGCAGTGGTCGAGAAGTCTTACTTAATTTTATAGTAAGCGGTTCAGAGTAAACTCCACAACCTACCTTACCATCTAGTTTAGAGTCGTTGGTTTATGATCAAGAACTGCTACCTTTCCCCAATCATTCCTCTCCGAGGCTTTTGTTGAGAAATTATTGTCGAAACAGAAGACGTAATTGGTGTAGTCCACGCCTTCCGAGAGTGATGTGGAGTTGTTTCTCTTCAGCTTTTGGTATATATCCCAGCTCGAGAATGTCGTGATCGAGCTAAGCAGTCTGTGTACTCTCCATTGTAGATCGACATTCCTCATGTGACACTGCCGAAAACCAACTCGTAGCGGCGGAGGCGTTCATTCCACTTGCTTACCTTCAAATCGTGAGCTTTGAAACATTTGCGGGCTCGTAATCAAAAGCGGGGTCTCTCGTACGAGGCTTTTTCGCAATTTTTTATTTGGACTATATGTTTCATAGCACCCACCCACCACAAACACTACGCACAACCTTCGGGGAACTCGCCTCCTACGCATATTTGTTGGCTACACAGGGGATACTTGGTCTAAAACCGGAAGTCGTGAGCTGATTGTCAAAAACTTGCCTCACTTTCGTGAATCTTTACACATGGCTCCATCCCTCACGGCGGTTATGTCAGCCTTTAGTTTTACTAGGCTCTCAAACCTTCGTTATTAAGAGATCGGTAGTCTTTTGGTCATGGTTCTTAATACTTTTGCAGAGGTCGTCATCAAAAGTGTAGTCTCTCATCCGTGGCGTTGCTAATGTTTTCAATTTCTACGACATGATCGCTAGCAGCCACACCTCTGGTGAACAGAGGCTACCAATTAGACTTCAGCGAACCCTCAAACCGAAAATGTCGGAGTGGCTGCCCTTTCTTCTGGAAATTTTCTTCCTTTTTGCCATGACCCTAGGCTCCATAAGATTGCTCACGTTACCAAAGGGGTCTAAAAACTAATTCTTAAAAACTTGTGAAGTGTAAATAGAGGTTATACGACAGACATTTCATGTGTCAGAGGAAGATTCACGGGCTAGGAAAAAATGTCAATCAGCGATTCCATCAGTTGATGGCTCATATGATCAACATTGTTCCTGCAGGGATGCTTGAGAAATCGCTTGCATTACATTGATTTGCCTGAAAGTTTATAATTAAATAATGAAAACGCAAAAAGACAAAAGCAAATAGCGAGTGCGACTGATAAGATATCAAACATAAATACGTACATATGCATGTATATACGATTGCTATACTATAGTCTAGTATTGTACATATTCGTATGTTTGTATGTATGTAATTTATCAATAAACGAATATACATTAGTAAGTCTATAAGTGCATGATTATAAAAATCAAATATCTAAAGGGGCACATACATATGTACATACACATTTACTCGTACATACATACATATACACTCATATCACTGTTCGTCCATATGCCAACCGTCAGAAATTTAATCGCTCCACACGATTCCGTACCGGAAATGAGGAAATGGAAATAAACGAATTTCATAGCAATAAAAAGCAGTGCGCTTACATACATACTCGTATGCACATATAGGCGCATACGTTTACGACGAAAATGTTCATACGCACAAATGAATACACACATGCTCGTGTGCTTACGGACACAAACAGATAGGAGTATGCTCCAAGGAAAATTTACTTTTCAGTTTGCAATTCGTCAAATATTTTTCCCTTCAAGAGTTTTGAATTTGCAAAGGAATTTGGGATTTTCCCCGACACATATTATTGTAGGTCTAGTAAAAAGTAAGCCATTATTTTCGCATCGATTTTCTCAGGCCTAGGCTCAATTCTTCACCAGCCAAATGAATTGCCATAGATCGGAACTGATAATGATCACTTGGTGCGAGGTACAGTTATAAAGTGGATGCGTAAGAATCTCCCAAATAAGCTCTCGGAACTTCTGGCGACTCACTATCGATGTGTGTGCTCTGACGTTATCCTGATGAAACAGAATTCCCCTCCTGTTGGCCAAAGCTGGGTATTTCCTTCGGAC